TAAATTTTACTACACTTGTGAAATGCGTCACGTTTTCAGCTGCAGTTGAACTGCCACTAGAAATAAATGAAATACGGAGACGGTGCAGTTTTGTTAGTGCAGCACAATATATGCATTCTCGCGCCGAACAATTTTCAAGGAAATGTACTGCTGGCTGTTTATATCGCATGTATTACACTTGTAAAATAGAGAAGAAAATTACATGAAATAAATGAATACGTATGTCTTGTTTTTATTAAAAATGAACATTCGAAGTATACAGGGTGTTAGTAAATAAGTGCGACAAATTTCAGGGGGTGGTTCTACATGAGAAAACAATGGCAGTTTGCTTATAAACGTATGTCCGCAAATGATTCGTTTTCCGAGATACGGGGTGTCAAAGTTTTTCTTAAAAACTGACGATTTAATTTATTGCTCTGAAACCGGTCAAGTTGTGCAAATGAAATTTGGTGGGTTTTAAGAGGTAGTTATTGCGCATTTTTTGACACGCAATTAAGAATTTTATGTTCATCATTGGCGCGCGTACGGGTAATAATCTCAATTTTTTTAAAGAAAAAAATGGTACGCCACTGAGATATTACAAATTAAAAATCATTTTTGAATTCCTCGTTCAATTTGTGACAAAAAATCTCTCTTGCCTTTTCTTCGTATGGGGCGCCGTTTTGATGCAAAAAAATAAAACATCTTAACGCGTATTTTTTATTTCTTTAATACATTATCAAGAACTATCTAATACAATAACATTAAACCAGAACAATAACAGAAAATAACACTAATAAAATTTTGAAAAGGCGCAAAGCTACAACAAATGTTCAAAATGACCTCCCTCAGACGTGACACAAGATTCAACTCTTCGCCTCATTGATTGTCGTATTCGCGCAAATATTCCTGGTATATTTCTTATTGTCTCACAGCCGACTATAATTCGATTCCTCAGGTCATCAACATTTTCAACGGGAGTGGAATAAACTAATGACTTAAGAAAACCCCAAATGCAAAAATCAAGAGGATTTAAATCCGGCGATCGAGCAGGCCAATGTTCCGTACCTCCCCTACCTATCCAACGATTTGGATATACTGTGTCTAAGTGATTACGTACATTAATGCTAAAATGGGCTGGTGCACCATCATGCATGTACCATAGGTGTTGTCTCAGCTGTAGAGGAATTTCTTCAAGAAGAACAGGTAACTCTTCCTGTAGGAAATTAAGATAAGATTCGCCTGTTAGTCGTTGTGGGAGGAAATATGGACCGATTAAATGATCATCAATTACCCCAAGCCATACATTTACGGAAAACTGATGCTGAAAATGAGCTTCAAAGATTCCATGGGGGTTTTCCTCAGCCCATAAGTGATTGTTATGGAAATTTCGTATACACTGTCGTCCAAAAGTAGCCTCGTCAGTAAACAAAACGGCATTTAAAAAATTAGGAATTTGAGCGATTTGATGATTAATCCATTGGCAAAAAAATAGGCGCGGAAAAAAGTCTCTAGGTAGTAGAGCTTGCACACGTTCAATATGAAACGGATACAATTGCTGTTCTTTAAGAATTTTAAATACAGTGAAGTTGCTTACATTCAATATGTTGGCAATTTTTCGAGTACTTGTTTCAGGTGACTCCGCAATTAACTCGAGAACTGCTTCTTCTAGTTGCACAGTTCGTACTTCTCGAGGGCGCCCACAGTCAACCGTTTGTTTCTTAAATGAACCATTTTCGCGCAAACGTTGATGAAGACGAGCAAATATTGTGTGATGAGGTACCCTACGTCCTGGATACAACTCAGCATACAATCGTCGAGCTTGCCGACCATTTCCATTACTTCGACCATAGACAAAATGCATGTCTGACAATTCCGCATTTGTAAAATTTTCCATTCTTTTCGATAAAAGAAAAATTAATTACTTATTAACACTAATGTTATAGCAAACTAAAAGCTTAATAAATTAATAATGACGAAACGCTAATTTGACATTTCTTAAAAATATTCGTATTTAACAGACAAATGTTGACAGTAGCCTACTAGGTAATGTATTAAAGAAATAAAAAATACGCGTTAAGATGTTTTATTTTTTTGCATCAAAACGGCGCCCCATACGAAGAAAAGGCAAGAGAGATTTTTTGTCACAAATTGAACGAGGAATTCAAAAATGCACTTATTTACTAACACCCTGTATATCTTCCATGAATTTATCGGATTTAAAAAAATAAACTTAAGAACCATAAATCTGAATTAAGGTTAATTTCTTGCCCGAAGTTTATTTGTAGCAAGTTTTTTTCTTTTTATTTGGGGTCATCTATTGGCCCAAAGGTTTATTTTTTAAATTTTTAACAGTTGGCCAAATACCCAAACGAAAACCAAAAAATATTTTTTCTATAAAATTAATCTATTTTCAGTTAATAAAACATTCCAATGAAAAAAAAATCATAATAGAGAAAAAATCGGCATCTAGATCTTTAAAATCTCACAAATCTCATTCAGCAAAAGATACTTGTACTAAAGGGTGTCCCAAAAATAATGCAGGATTTAAATTGTGCGCCATTTTCATTCCGATGAGTTGGCAGCATTGTGCAAGGTCAAATGTTGTAGTAGGTAAACACGTTATACAAAATGGAGCGCTATACGACGAATGAACGAGTGAAGATTGTGAAAACTCATTGCAAGTACGATGAGTGTGTACCTGAGACTGTGCGCAAGTTACGAGGAATTTTCGGTAGAAGGGCAAATGAAACAAGTGTGAAAAGATTCGCTTTCACACACACAATAAAAAACAGGCGGAAAATATTGCTGAGGTAAATCATAGTTTGGCGGAAATTCTCATAACCTCAGTGCGCCAATGGGGTCATTCAGTAAATTTTCAAAAACGTTCTTATTTTGTATACACAAAGTACTGCTCATGATTAGGCGATCCTGAAAATTTCAGCTCAATCCATTGATCGGTTTTCAAGCTATATGATTTTTAAAATGCGAATATTTGTCTCAGCTGTGGCAATGCAATGACGTCACCGCATGGGACGGTCAGCCGGCTTGGCGCTACATTCAGTTCTAGATAAGTTTCTGCATTGTTTTAGCGTTTGTGCATATTAAATTTAAAAAAATTGAAGCAAATTTCGTAAGAGCAGATTCTTCTAATTTGCCAGAAGTAGGTTTGGTTATGGATTTTTTTAATAAAAACCACGACTTTATCAGTGCTGAGATGAGCGGAGTGAAAATGCAAAGGTAACGCGTAAAGCTTCTTTAAAGTACGTTTGTAGCGAAAATCAAATACAAAATTCTTATTACTATTTTTATTCCCATGGAAACTACATAAAATCTACCTAATAAATATATTAATAATATAATATTTATTATGTATTTTTATATAAATACTTAGTACCTATAATTATTTGTATAATATTTACAAAAAAAATCGACAATGGAAACCACAAGTGTATAGTGTTTCTAGAGGATGCAAACGTATTCATTACAATATCTAAATTACGCAGGGTAGTTTTGTTGCTTTCAAAATAAGTCAGTTTTCAAGTAAAAGATATTAAAAAAAACAAATCAATGTAGAGACTAATAGACTATTGATTTTAGATCCGCACAACAGAAATACGGGGACATTATTATTTTCTTAGGTGTCTTCACGCTAGTGCTCTCACACTGGTGAACAATACAATATTTGTAATTTTTTTCTGTTCTGCATATTGCTAACAAAATTCGGTATCTTAACGTACTCAATCGAAACATAACAAGCAACTAAAACCCGACTACCCGACTGACTGACAACTCACGCAAGCATGGGGCATCGGTTTCCCATGCGGTGACGTCACACCCGCCGATTCAGCTGATACTCAGCTTGTCAGTTTATGATTGTTTTTGGATGACTTGTAGACGATATAAAATTCAATTTTTTTGCGGAGAACCTTAAAATTTCAATATCTTTCCGCTAGGCAAATAAAAAAAAATTGCTGAATGAGCCCATTAACCATTTCAAAAAGCAGTGGATTTTAGCAAAATATCTGCATCCATTCAAGATTCCTCTAACTCAGGAATTGAAACCAGATGACCATTTAGTACACCTGATATTCGTTGATTGGATGTTGGGAAATCAACACGTGGACGGTGATTTTGCTAAGAAAACCATCTTTGGCGACGAGGCCCATTTTCATCTTAGTGGGTATGAGAACAAGCAAAACTGTCGACTTTGGGGCAGAGACAATCCTCGGATCATTCAAGAACGACCACTGTATCCCCAAAGAGGGAGAGTGTGGTATAAATTACGCTGGTGGGGTGGTTGGTCCATTCTTTTTGGTAATGAATTTTCACAATCTTTACTCGCTGATCTGTCATACAGGTAGCGCCTAATGGCAACGTGTTTACTACAACATGCCACCCTTCGCAATGCTGTCAACTCTTTGGAATGAAAATGGCGCACAATGCAAATCCTGCATTACTCTAAATCTTTATATCGTCTGTCTGAATATAATACATTCCGATCTTTAAAAAAAAGAACATAGTATGCTTTTAGAACATTTTCATCGAAGTGATTTGATGTTATAAATAAATTATGGCAATGAAAAAATATACTAATAGCTCACAAACATTTGTTTTCTTTCTAGGATAGAATGGGAATTTTTCATTCCACCATCCTACACTCGACGTAATCAAAACTAAAGTGCACATCGTCCTCTGTTTCTACAATCGCGTATTTGCTACACAAATCTCCAAACCTGCGAAACAAAGTTAAGCTTAAACTAAAGCTACGTCTAACTGCACCCATATACACCATTTGACAAAAGTTAACTTTCACTTAAACTCACACCTTTTTACTTTTATAATATTTTACACTAATAAGAACTGTGCATGCAGCATCACTGAGAGATTGTTTGGTTTAAATCAAGAATCTTACAGTGCTTATAGGTAAGAATCATATTTTTTATGCATGACACTTCTTACATTTTTCTAACGATTCGCGTGTTTCTGTTTTAACTTATATTTCTACGAACATTTTTTAGCCCTTTGACAGAAAAGCCGAATGAATTGCTTCTTAAAGCGGCCAAAACTGGGGACCTTAAAACGGTAAGATAATTTATTAATTTTATATTTTTCATTTTGTTTTGATTTATCAGCAAAATTTTTAAACAAATACAGTATACCGGGTGTTTCATGAAGTTATCCCGGCACTAATAGAGGATGTTCCTTGGGTTATTTCTAGAAAAAAAGTTTTTATAAACATGTGTCCGATTTGCTTTACTTTGTGAGCTACATGAATTTGAAATTTAAATGTAAAAAGTAATAATCAAATTTGTTGCGTTACGTCTCGGCGCGCTACGCATTGGTCTAGTGTGCTCTGACGACATTTGCAAGGTAAAATGTTATCTAGGTTACTGTCAGTTTTGACAAGCTTGCAGTTTAGTGTGAAGATTCAATTTTGCAAATTCGCGAACAATGCCTTGTAAGTTTACAACTGCTGAGTATGCCGATATAGTGTTTGTTTTGGGTAATTGCGATGGAAATGCTACTCTAGCTTCACTGGAATATCAACGGCCGGCGTTTCCCAAATCGTCGCATTCCATCCCCGAAAACGTTTACCACAACTTTTCATGCACTCAGAGAAACTGGTTCACTTCTAAGTGTTCGCATTCACTACTAACGGGTAAGTCAGCAGTGTTGTAGAAGAGAATATCCTTGCTATGGCCGAGCGTAATCCCGGTGTTAGTACACGACGGATATCCACGCCTTTAGTGATTTCCAATACCAGGGTATGGAGAACATTAAACAAGAATCTGTTGTATCCATACCATTTACAGCGTGTTCAACATCTGGAGCCAGAAGATTTCCCTAGGCGGGTAGAATTTTGTCAGTGGTTGAATAATAATAGGAATTTGTGTCGCTACATCTTATTTACGGATGAGTCACAATTTACCAGAAACGGTATCAACAACACCCATAACATGCATCAATGGTCGGACGTCAACCCTCATGCCACCGTAGAAAGTAATTTTCAACGTAGATTTAGCTTTAATGTGTGGTGTGGAATGTTATATGATCAACTTATAGGGCCATTTATTATTGAAGGTCGTCTTAATGGACCAAAGTATCTACAATTTTTAGAGGAAGAACTCCCGCGATTGCTTGAAGATGTACCTCTGGCAAGACGATTAAGAATGTACTTGCAACATGATGGAGCTCCACCTCATATTTCCCGAATTGTCACTGCTCACCTAAATGAGCATTACC